CACGCACTCATGTGCAAATATGCCGATTAATATGAAAGAGTAATAACCAGATCTATATATATATATATATCAATACATCCCTCAATAATTGTTTTCGTTTTTCATTACGTGTAAATATAGCATGTAGGATAGAGAGGTAGAGTTGTTGTTAACTTACAGTTTTTGCAAGAACAACGCTAATCAGACGTCGTCTTCCGGAAAGATCGACCCAAGAATGAAATCGTTTTGTAACTTTATGTCAAAAATGACATTGTAATGAAGATGCCCATTCGACTCTTGCGACGCAAGAATACGAGATAATGCCCACAAAATAGGGATGTTTTTAGGTTAAGAAAAACAGACAGCGTCAAATGCGAAATGGTGGTGGTTGGTTGAAGAGAAAAACAATTAAAATCTAGCCACTTAAGATCACTGACGAGTTACTATGCCTATTTTACAAAACTTTATCCTAAGATCTTCTTATCAATTAAAAAAGTGACTAAAATATCGAGATAATAATCCATATATTTTAATAATAATTATGGGCTCGGTGAAATTTACTCTGGTAAGCATTCGTCAAGCAAATTAATATAAAAGGGAGCTACGAATTTACAATTGGGAGGCGTTATCTCTGTTCATAAAACCTCTCGTCAAAAGTAAAATAAATGCTGTTTATTTGTAGGTTTAGCGGCCGTAAAACTGAGTCCCAGTCAATACTCTCAATTAATATACAGATACCTTTTCATAGCAAACGTTAGAGCATGAAAATAAAGAATAATCATGTAAAAATCTTGACAAAATATAAAGATTTAACTTTATAATCCGGTCAATAAAATAAATAAAATCCAAGCTCATTTGAAATAATTGAGCATTTAGAAAATCTAATAAAATAAGGTTTCTTATCTCTTACTTTTCCTGAAATAATAAAAATCTCTTATGTTAATCTAACTCGAAAAACATTTTTCCTTCAATAAGGTCCAGAACTTTCATTCCCGGTTAGTATTTTCGATCTTCCATTAGACCTATTTGGCATTGCTAAATCTCGAAGTACTGCGACAACCTGCAAGGAAACTTGCCTCTGGCGGATTTCATGTTTCCCGAAGAGACCGCCCAAGCCTTCAGGTCATCCTCTATGCCCATTTTTATAGAGGAAGCGGAGGTGGAGTCCAGCCAGCGATACCAAAGTGCATTGTACCCCTCAGGATTGGCTGAATCAATATCGGCGTCCTCAAGATCAAAGTCGATCCCGTCACTCAATGCGAACTAAAGTGGAAGGTAAAATATATATATATATAGATATAGATATATAAATAGATAGATAGATAAATATAGCGAGAAAGAGAGAGTTAAACGTGATTACTTCTTAAATGGTAGGTAAAAAAAGTGATCAACAGTAAACCTTTATCGGAATATAATTCGCCAAATTAGAATACCGGTAAAAAGGAGAAAATCAGCAAACTCGTGAATGGAGCTGGAGGCCTCCTTTAAAAGAAAAGAAATTATGATTATTTAAAAAATAGAGCAATAGATGTAGTAAAATAGCATAGAGATAAGCCCAACAGGCAATCAACAGGGTCAATATATGGGATATATTCACCCTATTTAGGTAATATGATGAAGGACTAGAAGTTGAATTTTCCCACAATTATGAGTTAACTTACATTTCCATTTAATTTCACATCAGCTTTACCAACTTAGAGAAATAAGGTGAATACATCTCATATATATATATATATATA